TATAAATATGCTGGCCACGGGACCATGGAAATGTCTTTGGACAATGCTGGCTCTCTCAGCTAAGAAATGGAGATGACCATCCCTCCTAGAGTTGGATACAACTCATCAGGAGAAACCTTCACAAAACAGAAAAGCACCACAACGACAAAAACTATGTGGGTATTTTAAGATTCTGCTATGTACTTATTTGGTTTTTATCCTGCTTTTATTATTTTAGGAGTAATTTAAGGTGGCAAACATACGTAATACTCCTCTTATTTTCTCCACAACGACATTATTGAGAGGTAGGTTGAACTGAGAGAAAGTGACTGGGTCCAAAATCTCCCAAGTCAGCTTTCCTGTCTAAAGCAAGACTAGAACTCACCATCCCACAATTTCTAGATCAGCACCTTAACCACTACACCCAATTGGCTCCATCAAACAGTATAACACACTTTATCAAACTATAAGAAAGGACTGAATTCATGGGAAATTACGGCCTACCATGCTGGGGAGCACTGTACTATCAAAATATATTTTTGCTCTGAAAGAACAGGGCACCCAGCTAGGACCATGTCCATTGTTTCTCATGGATAAGCAGGCATACGATTTCAGCTTTTGATTGAGATTGAACTACCACCATAGCTTTATCTCATTTAAAAGAAAAAAAACTCCACATTTAAACTGAATAGAATTTGATGAGAATATGAAATACCCACAGCTATACAGTTCAGTTTCTGTAGCATTTTTCTAGTTCTAAAGCACTTTAATAATTCTCGTCCTTGAAGCAATCTTGAAAGACATGTTTAATTAAGAGGAATGAGGTCTACCCGTGGTGGTCTGAAAATCTGCCAGCTTGATGATCTCTCCCACACTGAGTAGCAATATTCACTTCACCAGCTCTGTTCTAATATTCACCAACTGGCTTCTATTACCTCAAGGAAAAAAAATATGTGGTAATAAAAGGAGATGCGCCTGTATCACAGGCTGTGCCAGAGCATTGTTTTTATAAAACACATATAAAACTGCAGATGTTCTTCATTTATATTAGCTTACGAGATGAATTTCAAAACTTCCTTTTATCTTTATAGATCCATAGTGAAGTGTTCATACAGCGATCCAACACATGAGAAAGACCAGGAAAACAAATCAAATCATTTCTAGTTTCCAGCTGAAAGACAAGGAAAAGCCTATTCAGAGTTACTTTTAAAATACTTATTAACTAAAACTTACATAATGGAAATTGAAGTCCCAGAAGTGGTAGATCAAACAATTTATTATTCATATTGACTTCTTTGTTTTGATTTTTTTTTCAGTTTACCCTACAGTGGTAGATTTCTGATGTATCCATCTTTCAAATCATTCTTGGGATCATATCCAAAGATTTCATAAATTAATGAGGCTGCACAATTCTTAGAGGATCTGAATTCCAACCAATTGTCTCAGGGAAGGGGTGTCAAACTCAAGGCCCATGGGCTAGATCCAGCCCACAGGGCTGGCTTGGAAACAGCAAAGGACCAGCCGGTGGTGCCTCTGCCAGCAAAAATAGAGCGGTGGGCCCGCACTCATTCCCCTGCACCCCATTCTCAGCTGTGATGGCCTGGCTGCAGCCCTCTGCCATGCCCCCCCAGGTCCATTTTTGCTGGCAGAGGGCTACCAAAACAAACTAAAAATAAAACAAAAGGAGAAATGTTTACCCTTTTGAATTTGAGCATGCAAGAAGGGACAGGAAAGGAGAAGGGGAAAGAGGAAATTTAAAGAAAAAGAAGGGAAGATGGGAAGAGAGCAAGGAAGGAAAAATAAGGAAAGAGAGGAAGGAAGAACAAAGGAGAGTGAAGAGGGAAGGAAAAAGGAAGGAAGGAAGGAAGGAAGGAAGGAAGGAAGGAAGGAAGGAAGGAAGGAAGGAAGGAAGGAAGGGTATAAATGACAGTGAAGGTGGGTGTCAGGGAAGTTCTACATTAGCATTGGCCACCACAGGTGCTCCCAACATGAGTCCCGTGTCACATCCACCATGGCCACGCCCACCACGCCCTCCAAGGTCAAACACAACCCTGATGTAGCCCTCAATGAAATCAAGTTTGACACCCCTGTCTCAGAGGATCTTGAAGAGTACCTTGCGAAGAACCAAAGAGAAATCATTTACGGCCTACAATACTGGAGATTTGGAACATATAGTGGATGTCTGATCCCACATGGGCCTATTACACAGCTATGGATATATTGGTCAGATGGAAGGTGGGATCAAAACAAATTGGGGGTCTTAAGGATCAAAAGCAAAGTAAAAATATCCCAACTTAAGTCGGGTCAGGGAAACACATCCAAATAATGGGAAAATTAAACAACTGATAGATTAAGAGGTAATTCCTAAGGGAAGCTGGAGGTGATAGTGCCAACCACATCCCATTGTTCATAGGTAATAATTTTACGATGGGTCTCAGGCTGACAAATGAGGTGGAATGAAATAATAGCCTGGGGTAAAGACACTGTCTAAGCAAAAGAGACAGACTTCACTGAATGCAGTGAAATTTAAATTAGACAAAACCACAACTCCAGCATGCCATCATCACTGGTGTATTCATTGGGGCTAAAGGCAAAAAAAAGCAAAACTAAAACCCAGTAATTAAAATCACAAACATTAAGAACAAGTTTAACAGAGGTTATAATGAAAGAACAGGCATTCCATATATCTATTCTGGCACTGGAATAGATGGGCTGTATTTTATGTACATATTTAACAAATAAGCTCAGCATTTAGATCCAATTAATGCGAATAGCAACCTTAGGAGGTATTTGTTCAGGTTATGGACAAAATTTAAAATTTAAAAAAGCACTGCCTTTTTACTTGCATCATTATTGCTTTCGCTATTCTCCACTACTGCACTTTTCGAAGTCCTCAGCCGTCTAAATGGCAATCTTTGCCTTGAGCAGGCAGAGTCACTTTTAAGAGAGAAATGATCTATGGCCTCCCATTGCTGGACTACAAATCCCAGCAACCCCAAATCAGTATATTCAATTATGAAAATGCAGCACTTTGGTATCATGTGAAGAGCCGTAAGTGCTTCAATTTAGAAAACTATTAATTCATTTTAGCAAATGCACATTCTCCCCTCTACTGTGCATAGTTGGGTCTTTTTCAAATTACACTTCATTTCAAAGCCATCTTGCCAAAGTGTATTTGCTCACTTAAATTGAAACTTTATATCACAAGATAGCTCTGTCCTCCAGCTTCAAATTATAAGCAACTAAATTAATACTGTAGTTTAAGTGAGGTGAAAGTACACTTAAAGTGACTTATTTTATCATCACTAATTGAAACCAATTGTTTGAATGGTTGGATGAATTTCTAATGGAATAGTCTGGTTAATTTTTCTTCCTACTCATGCTTAATCAGAGAGTAAACCAAGATAAATGAGTAGATTAACACCCAGGTAACTACCACCAATGGGGGAAATTGATACACGTAGTCACCAAGTGTACATTAACTTGATGGCACATAATCAACTATCAATCAAAGCAATTTTGTGATTTATTGTATATATTAAAAGGGACAAAGTTAATCTCCTGTATCTTTGAGAAATGGCTGAGTTCACAGATTTCAAAGCTATATGTTTGGCCTAGTATGTTATGACGGGGAATGGTAATTGAAAAATCATGCTTAATCAGTATGAACCTGGAGAACTGTTTTCAATAAACTATGGTTTATTTTTAACCATTTTAAATTATGAGTTACCATAACTGGGACAATGTGTGAATGAGCTAATGCTTGGATCAAAACTCCAAATCATAAAAAAATGGTTTTAAAAAAATGGTGCAGATAAGCAGAATTATTCAGAATTCTGCATAGTTTGGCATCTATACAGAAATACTTCATCCCATTAAGGCAGATCTAAGGCCCATGTAAATAATGGGCCCTAGGACCCTGAAGACTCAGGGCAAAGGGCACTGACCTCATTCAAGTAGGACAAAGGCATTTTTTAAAAAAAAAAAAATACTGCACAGCTGTTTCCTAAGAATCTAGGAACCAGCCTTTGTTTTAAATAGCAGTCCTTTTCCTCCTGTTATAAAAATATCCCTATTGAGCAAGCTCTTTATTTCTAGAACTGCATGCACCTGGGATGTTTAAACCTACTTTTGTCAATGCAATTAAAAAAACAAGATGGAAAAATGGCACATGATTTTAGTCTAGTCTGCCACTGAGAGACTATGTATGCTTCTAAGGGGTCAGTTAGGCCAGCAAGGATCCAGGATGTTTAAAACACTAATGTTTCCAGCAGCTGTAGTTCAAAGGAAAATGCTTACATTTTTTTTTTCCAGAACCAACAGACAGACATTCATTCAATCAGCCACAACAAAGAAGCAAAGAGTATCTCATGAATGTAGTCATAGAACTTTTTAATACTTTACCAAAAAACAGTCCTGCATATACAGCTTAGATGATTTTAAGTAAACTTCACATGTCTTTTCTGTAGCCAAATCAACGTAGTGTTTTTTTTGTGTGTTTATTTTAAATAATAAAACTCTTCAGTACCACTGTTAAAAATGGTCAGTGGGGAAAGGCGGTTAAATCAATCAACTCTCTGAAACAGAGAAGCACAGGTTATTCTCACACCCCACTCGAGGTTGGCTGGTGAAAATAAGTGTACTACTGTTTTAAATGAGCCCAGAGATGGCACTTAGTGCTGAAAAGGTAAAACAAAAAATGACAAAAAAAAGTCACATTCTTTTTTTTTTTTAAAGTGTTTCCATTCATTTCTTGATACAACCCCAGAAGACATTACAGTGGCTTTACATAAGTCATCAGTTATACAGGAACAAAGGCGCACAACCCAGTAAAAAAAAAAAAAGAGAAGCATTTGAAAGTCCCATTGATGGCTATCTGGTGAAAGTTCTTTAAAGGCTCAACTTCAAGAGAGGAGGGTGTGTGTGTGTGTGTGTGTGTGTGTTAAAAAGTGTTTCCCCTGGAAAGTGCTTAGCTGGACTTTGCTCCAAATGAGGTCCTTGACACAAGGGTTTTCTCTCTCTTTTTGTAATGGTACAGTGTCACACTGCACATCACAAGTGCATTTAAGGTGTCCAAATAAACACCCTCATCATTGTGCAAAATAGGTTCTTTTGCAATAGAAATCAGATTGAGGGGGGGTGGGGTGGAGGGGCTAAAGGCAGAAAGGAGGTCATCCAAACCATATCAAGGATAGGAGGCACCAGACTCTGGGAAGTTTGGGGATTCTCTCCACCCGCCCCCACCCACTCCTGCAACCCAAGGGGAACACCAATTATACCATTCTTCTGTGACAAGTGGCTGTCTCAAGAACTGGGGGAGGGGGACTTTTCATTGTGGAGGGGGCTAGGAAGAAGCAAGCCCAAACCACTCAAACCCCTCCCGCCCCTGCCCCCCCCCCCAAAAAAAACCCTAGAATCATTCTCAAAGAGAGCAAGGTCCCAGTCCAGTGTTAAAGAAGCCCCATCCTTTCCTTGCCCCCCCAAATCAAACAATTGGCTATGTACACCCAACAGATGGTCCCTTCCCTCCCTCCCTCCCTCTTAGCGTTTCTCAATGCAGGTACTTCTCTTCCCAGCTTGAAGGTAAACACCGATTCAGTGCAAAGGGAGGGTGGGTGGGGGAGAGGATCGCGAACTAGGCAGATCCCGTCCACCAGCGCCTCCTTTCCAAGGGAAGAAGCCAGGCGGGAGCGGCGCAGCTCCAGCCTTCTGATCTCCTCCCTGCAGAGTTTTTTTTGTTCTCACGGGAGAGCGACCTTAGGCGCGGCATAGGCAAGCCCGGTTCCTTTCCTCCAAGCCAGGAAAGGCGAGTGTCCACGAGTGTCCTTCGCGCCAAGTGAGGAAGCACAGGCTGAAGAGAGCCAAGATCACTGAACGGGCGTTTGCATCAACCGGCGGAGGGGGGGTCCTTTGGTGGAAAATGAGCGCTTCCCCCACGGTCCAAGCGGGTGCGCGCTTTGCTTTGCTTTGCTCTCTCGCCCACCCCTCTCCCCGGGTGCCCTGCGCGCGGGGGCTCCCACCGACGGGCTTTAGGAGTCAGCCCCGAGTCCCTCGACGCCTGCCCGTTTGTCTCTCTCTCTCTCCCCCTCCCTCTCCCTCCCCTCCCTCCCTCCGGGCGTCCAGGGCATTATAGCACCTTGCAGCAATTGATGCAACCGTTCTGGGTGCCGTAGCGCTTCTGCAAAGCCGCTCTGGTGGCCGTCTCGAAAACCTCCCGCACGCCTTCCTTGGTTTTGGCCGAGCACTCGAGGTAATCGTAGGCCTGGATGCGGATGGCCATAGCCCGGCCGTCTTCGGTGCGGACGGGCTCCTGCTTCATGCGGGCCAGCTCGTTGCGCACGTGCTCGTCGTTGCGCAAATCTTTCTTGTTGGCCACCAGGATGATGGGCACGTTGGGGCAGAAGTGCTTCACCTCGGGCACCCACTTCTCCGGGATGTTCTCCAAGGAGTCCGGGCTGTCCACCGAGAAGCACATGAGGATGACGTCCGTGTCCGGGTAGGAGAGCGGACGCAAGCGGTCGTAGTCTTCTTGGCCGGCCGTGTCCCAAAGGGCCAACTCCACCTGCTTGCCGTCCACCTCGATGTCGGCCACGTAGTTCTCGAAGACGGTGGGCACGTAGACTTCGGGGAACTCGTCTTTGCTGAAGACGATCAGCAGGCACGTCTTCCCGCACGCCCCGTCGCCGACCACCACCAGCTTCTTGCGGATCGCCGCCATGGCCAGGGTCGCCAACCCCGCCCTGTTGGGGTGCGCCAGCAGGGAGACCGAAGCGCTCTCTTCCCCGCCGCGCCCGGGGGCTCCTCCTCCTCCTCCTCCGGCCTCGCCGCCTTTTCTACGGGGCAGCGTGTGGGCTCTCTTCTCCGGCCGTCGGGGAAGGGGAGCGAGAAAGGCTCTTCCGCGCGCGGCTTAGGAAAGGGGGAGCCGCCCACTTCGGCCGGGCCTCGCTTCTGTTCTGGGCCGGCTCCTCTGACGCCCTCTGCCTGCTTGCATGGAGAAAAGGATCTCGGCTTCTCGGCTCTCTTCTGGCCCCGGGTTCCCTTTCCAGGGAGGCCAAAAGCGGGAGAAGCCCCAAAGCACCGGAGCTCTCAAGAAAGCGGCGGCAGGTTTGCTTTTTTTTTTTTTTTTTTGCTTCTTCCCCCCGCTGCAAGTTTTGTGGCCCGGCTTTCCCACCTTTCCTTTCTTTCTTTCTTTCTTTCTTTCTTGTCAAAGAGCCGCTCGAGCCGTCCGGACTTTATGCCATAGCACGGCGACGGGCGGACGCTGCTATTTAAAGGGGCCGGCTACTTTCTTAATATAGCTGGCCAATGGAAAGGAAAAGGATGAGGTCATCGGTTTGGAAGAGGCGGGTGATTGGTGGGGAGTATTGCAGGCGCTCGGGTGGGGCGGGGAGAGAAGCAGGAAGTGAATGGCAGGCGATCATGAAAAGAGGGAGGGGTCTTGTCTGCTATTTCGCGACCTGCTGAGATATTTTTTTTTATATATTTTATATATTTTATATATTTTTTATATATTTTATATATATATTTGGAAGATCCGAAGCAGAAAAGAGACTTTAAATCTTTGTCTGCCCCCTCTTCCGCCTCCCAATAGATCTTCCAAGGGTCTTCCAAATTCCCTGCTCCAATCTGGAGAGGTTTTGTTTTTAAAAAAGTTTCATCCAAGGAGAGAGAGAGAGAAAGAGAGATACACACATATACATACATACATACATACATACATACATACATACATACATACATACACACACTCTAGCCTTCCCATCTCACTTTAGCTTCCCGACGCCCCCGCACTCGTTCTATAATAAACGATACATATTTGCTCAGCTTAGTCTTTCGAGAAAGAACCACAAAAGATGGCTTAAAAAGGCTCTGCATAGTTTTTAAATTTTTATTTTAAGAGCTTTTCTATAGAGTACAGTATTGTTTTGTTTAGAAAGACTCGACAAGCTATAGTTGGTCACTTGTTGCTACTAAGTTCAGAGGATTCCGTTTGAATCAACCCTCCCATTTAAATTGGGGTAGTTTAAGAGGAGGTGACAAAAGTACTCTGGAAGACATGTTTAGGTTATCATCTAAACGGATATGAGCTACCTACTTCTGTTAATTGTTATGGCCCAGCTATCCTCAAAGGGAAGTAATAGTTTGCAGTATAAAGCCAGGGCCCTATCAGGCTGTTGTTTATGTAATGAGTGTCAAATCACATTAAAAAGTTCATGCGGAAATTCTGCATGTATGATAAAATGATTTTTTTTAAAAAAAAACCCTACTGTATCCCTTGGGATAATGGGGAAAACCTATCTATGTGGTTCTTAAGAGTCAACAACCACTTGATGGCACAAATTTATCACGACCACTACCATAAAATGTAGCCACGCCATAGTAGAGAAATTAAATTTAAAAATGTAATGAAATTTAGAAATAAGTCCCCAGTTCAGTTATAAAAGAGTTTTTGCTTTTCTTCAACACCCAATGGTACCAAAATGTTCACAAAAAATGAAAAACCCAAAGAGCTGTGACTCTAGTAAGTCAACGTGCTAACAATACTGAGTGCAGCACAGAAACGAGTAAGGTGGATTTTGCAATACAGAAGTGGATTGTAACAACCCTCATGGCTCTAAAGTCCAGCAGAATACTTCAGATTAAGTGTCAATCACAGAATAATGAGTTGGCAAAGGCCTGGTGAGCATTAGACTTCAACTCACAGCGGTTCTGTATAACCTATGGTGAAGCCTGAATAATTTTATTTAGAGGACATGATTAGGGGACACAAGCAGCTTCAACTTATTCTTGATTGTTGTTATAGCCAATCTAAATAAAACTTTCAAATTTCTTACAGAGTTGGTTTTGATTTGTTAGTCTGAGCTCATATCAATCTCACAAACCTGATTACATTTGGTCTCCTCGCTTAGTGAATTAGGGAGGTGTTTGACAGAGTCGCATCCAAATATTATCTGTCTGTTGTAAACTGAAAGAAAGTTTTATTCCCCATCACCCTGGCAATACATCTTGCATATGTCCATCAAGGCCATCTTCCTTTCTTTCTAGATATAAACCACTCCCTCCTACTTCAGCCTATGCCCCTGTTATCAGACTAATTTTTGCCAAGCTGACTAATAATAGGCATGGAAGAGGGGGTTTGCTAAGTGGAAGCAAAGGGAGCTTTTCCTCTCATGTCACTAGGCCAGGCAACTGGACAGGTGGCCAGACCCACTAATCTAAGCAACTGTCTAAACATTGCCCTATCGCGCTCCATATTAGGGAGAGTGGTTAGTTTTTCCTCCCACTGGCAGGTGAAGCTTAATAAAAACAGAAACAGGGCTGGAGAAATCTATTCATCTCTTTCCTAATTGTGACCCACAATAGTAAGGTTAGCACCATTTTTTTTGGTCTCATTACTCTGTTGAATAGGGTTTGGCAGTGAGGAATATACCATGTACACTTTTCTACTGATTAAAAGACTAGCAGAAAGTATTTGAACCAGATGGGAAGATTTTTATTCTTCCCAGTAATTATTTTCTCTTTAAGGAATACTCCCTCTTAATCAACCTCCACCCTCATTCCCACACCAGTCTACTCTGACTTCTTCTGCATAGTGCTCCTTAACATTTCCTCACTTTTCGCCCTCTGGTCGATCCCACTTCTACTTCCCCAAGGGTGGGCTGTTTTCCACTGAATCACAGTGGTCCCATTTCTTCCTCCCATTCAAGTTCTTCTTTCCTTTTTCTTTATTGTTTTTTTCCAAGCAGCCAGCAACAAGATGGGGTTTAGCCTCTAGAGTCTATTACCTTTTCTACTTTTGAATGTCTTATAATTCAGAGAGGGAGGGGGAGAGAGGGGGAGAGAACTTATTAATACCACTGAATGAATATCATTGTCATCAGGTATGATATTCATTCAGCTTTCTTTGTGACCACACAGGGACACAGGAAATATTTTAAAATCATGATAAATAACGTTTGCCTTGTCTCAATATACTAGTTTCACCGGATTCTCTACCGACCCATCACCAGTTATAGTTCCTTCTATTCCCAAACCCCACGTTTTCTCCTTAGTCCATTGAGTCATGGTGGCACATGTGTGCAGGAGCATTAATACTGATATCCCACCTTTCTAGCCAAAATCCAATTCAAGATTGCTGAGAACAAAATAATGTAATCAAGATGGCCTCTGAGGGGAATGGTTTTTTGAGTTGAGTTTATGAGAGACAGTTAATTGATGGGGGATTTGGAACTGGAAATATATAGCTGGGTTGATGGTTGTAATGGGTGTATGTGTGGAAATTTTACTGGGAAGCTCTGGAATGGGCTCTGGCAGTATTGAAACAGGGCACTCATTGTAGGGAAATGTTAACTGTCATCCTATAACAGAGGTGGGGAACTATGGCCTCTTTATGACTTGGGGACTTCAACTCCCAGAATTCTGGGAGTTGAAGACTACATGTCATAAAAGGGCCATAGTTCCCCACCTCTGCCCTATAGAGTAGATCAGACTGAGAACCCCATACATAAAGGCCTAAACCTACTTTACCTGGAACAACTATAATAAGAGAACCCTGCAAGTTTGAATGTGTTTCCCTCCTCCCTCACTTAATCTTTGTGTGAAATAAGAGGTGTCCGTCCCCCCCCCAAATTTAATTTCTTGGAATAGACTTTGGCTGCTCTTGCATGATTGTTTCTTTAGTAAACAGATCTTCCTTTTTTCCTTTAAGGCCCTTCTTTATGTCAGTGTTTCTCAACCTTAGTAACTTGAAGATGTGTGGACTTCAATTCCCAGAATTCCACAGTCAGCATGCTCCTGGGGAATTCTGGGAGTTGAAGTCTACAGATCTTCAAGCTACCATGGTTGAGCAACACTGTTCTATGCCCTATTAACAAAAGAACAATGGCCTTCTGGTTCCAGGGAAATGGAACCTTGGATAATGTCCCTACTCTAATTCAGGCCGTTCTTGTTGACATTGATGTGGAAGAGATCTATTTAGGGGTTTGCAATTTTGAAGAGTGTGGATGACCAGGAGGGGCTGAGAAACTGATGGGTAGAGCATGCCAGTCTGACAGAGAAAGAGGGTCACAGGTGCAGTGGTGAGAAGGCCGGGCAGCAATAGTGATCAAGCAACAACTACATTACTGGCTCAAGCATGGACCTTCCATTTATATATTAATTAAACTTAGGGGCTGCCCAATGACTTATGGGTGGTTTACACTTAAAACGATAGAAAACAACAAAAACATACATTTGGACAAACCACACCCCATATACCATAAGTTGCAAACAATGAGCTACACTACTACCCTATGAAAGGTTTAGGAGAACAACCATGATCTTGCATGTCCCCTCAATGATGCATTATGAACCCATCTTTATTTTTTTATTTCTTTATTTTTGCTTTTTATCATATTGTGTGGAGTCTGTGATAAGTTGGGCAACCTTAAAAAAAAAACCTAACTTATAAGCAAACAAATGAAAGTCTGCAAGTTCCTGCTGACTCACCAATCAGCAGTTCTAACCAGCATAGACAGGTGCGAAAGTTGCTGAGAATTATAGTTCTACAATGTTTAGAAGATTGCGTATTACTAAATCCTGATCTAAAATGGAAAAGAGTTATCTTATAAAATGCCTTCCATGTTTGGTCTTCTTAATCCCTTACTTTACCTTTCTCTTCTTGCTCCTTAACTCTTGCGATGGCTTTATTCATAGCTTTCCCTAAGTGCAGCTTGAAGGTGCCATATGAAACATTCGTTAAGGGTGACTAATTTCATGAGTAATCTGATGCTAAAATAGTGTATCTCTTCTTTTCTGATACATACCTTATTATAGGGGTAATGGCAGCCACTGGTGAAGACGTTGCAGAATTACACAGTTCCTCTTGGTGTCTTTTGACTGCTATAGACTTGTCTTCATAATTAAGAGCCACTTGGAAGTTGTCTTAAACTGGAGGTTGCTTTTTTTTTCCAAGCGAGGTTTTCATTGACTCTTCTTTAGCAAGATTTATTGAGATGAGAGGAATTAAGTGTTGGACTAGGAATAGGGAGACTCAGGTTCTTATCCACGCTCAGAAGAATATATAGAAGCTCGTGGGCTACTCAATCACTCTTAACCCATACTAGCCTATACATGGGAGTCAAATTTCATGTTGCCGTTACATGACATTTCACGACATTTTTCCCCTTTGCAGAGATGGGGTAGGCGTAGTCACCAGTTTGATACCACTGAATTTCTAGGATGCTTACTGTA